CACTGATAATGCTTCTTTCCAGTCAAAAATAATTTGACACACAATGTATGGCAGATGGATTGTTTGTAATTGCTGCATACTCAACTGCCCTTAGTCCCTGTGCTTTCTAAGCTAAAATGCTGTATGTATTGCTTTTATATATATATATCGTTCACCCTTTTTTCACAACCAAGAAAATGAAGTTTAGAGGAATCACATGTCAGCATTTTTCATACATATCTCCATATACCCTAGAAATGGAAATGTTTGGTTATATGATATTACACAGAACCATGTATACTTGTGGCCTAGAGTTTTGTTATTGAAATACATTTATATGTATTTTATATGTTTGTCCTGTAGTGCAAAAATAAAACACCTGTGGGGAAGATTAAGAAAGCTAGAAGTTGCATATCATAAAATACTAAGCTCTTAATAGTCCTCATATTTGTTATTTCAAAGGACTGCTAAGAATGAGACTCATACTGATAATGCACAGCAAAAAAAGTGTGCAGTAAGAGATTATTTTTCTACTGTTATCAGATTTGCTATGCGGAAAGATGTCACCATTTTCACTTTCCGCATTTATCTAATGAAAATCTAACGAATATCAAAAGATCCAAAAATGATATGTATGATAAAAGGTCATTTCATATATTTTGACCCATCTTATTTCATTGCATTGTTAGAAATAAAGGTATGTTTTTACATTTTAGTCTTTCTTGAAATTCAATGAAAATATTGAAGTGTATGGAAAATAATGACTGTATAAATAAATTATTTTTAAAGCCAAAATCAAACTTATGTGCTTCATTACAGTTCTACCAGAAAAAAAAAGAAAGTTTTTTTCCAAAATGTATAATGGAAATTTATTTCCTGTAAACCATTATGTTTTGGACATTAATCAGAAAAATTTTTTTCTTGACTCTGCTATTTCAGCAAAGGGGTTGACAGATCATATTATTAAATTATGTTATTACTAACTGGAAAAATCCAGTATGATCTTTTTCTTTTAAGTCCTTTAAAGTTCTATAACCTTTCGCTATGTAATTTACTTATTTACACATTCCAGAGATTAGGATACAGACATTTTATGGACCATTCTGCCTACTATGCTGTGTTTTAAAATTGCCTTTTTCCCCACTTCACGCTTGAAATTTTTACTACACAAACCTTGCAGTGTGTGTGTGCGGGAAGGTGGGGTGGTGGTAGTGGTGGAACCTTTATAAATATATTCCAGCATAATTTAAATACATTTTTCTAATTGTATTTTAACTAGTAATTGATGAAGATAAAAAAAAAAATCATGTATGAGGGGCCAGCAGATGGCATGGTGGTTAAGGTGCTAGATTCCTATGTGACTGATGCAGTTTGAGTCCCTGACCTGGTAGCTTGAAAATTTGGGTATGAATGTATAGCCAAAATTCCTGGAGGAGAATGGAGAAGGGATTGTGGCATGGCTATCCCCCAAGTGGGGTGATTTCTCACTTTCCTTCTCTCTGTCTCTCTCTGCCTCTCTTCAGTGCAAGCCTGCACCCTATGCCAAAATCTGAAAAAAAATAAATATGAGAGCTTGAAGTTCAAAATCTGAAAAGTATTTGATTTAGCTCTATACATAAACTAGCATTTATCAACTCTATCAACTTTGTTTTTATGCTGTTGAGATTTACCACTCTGAATTATGGGAACCATTTCCAAATTTACTAAGATCATCTTTCAGTGTCATTTGTGCAGATGATTAGTAAATGATTATTCCAAATATGATTAGAAATGTGCTTCGTGGATTAGTCTGTCTTAATTGTTTATTTTTTCTCATCATGGCCCTGATAAGTCTTGAAATCTTTAAGGTCAAAAAAAAGGATCCATGATTTGTTCATTTGAGATTAATTTTAAAAATAAATTATTGCCAAAGTGTGCGTGTACTCACCAAAGAGAAAGAAAGCAGCCCCGCAATGGAGAGTGGCCACCCTTTAATCCCTTTTCCGTTTCTCCATCCAGTTGGGATTTTAGCCACTCACATATGTGCGCTCAGAATGTTTTTCAAGCTTTTGGGGCCAGAATTTGAACAGTGGTTGGCCAATGTGAACTCCAACTCTCATAGCCACCTGGTCATTGGACTGGAGACAAAATTAATTTTTATATTTATTTTTTAGAACCATAGGTAATGAATAATCTGTTAATCAACTGTTAGAAATCAATATATGCTGAATAGCTTCTCTATATGTAGTTTTCCTACGTTTTCTAATCTAGAGACTTTATTATCATTTGTTACTATTTCATAGCTTCACATCAATTCCAATTGCAATATACTTTTATTTCTTTTAATAATTATGAAAATTATCATTTAAATGCCACAACACCTAATTGGTTCTTAAGTATGCATGTAATTTATTTGTATACATTTCCTTTTCAGAAGATGTAGTTAGTTGAATATATTTGTATAACAGTGAGTACATTCTTAGTGAAGTTGTTTAATGTGATTAATTTAGTAGATCAAAGATAATACATATCTATGCTGATAAGATTAGCATACCATGTGCCATTTTAGTTTCTTTTAACATATGACTTTATCTGAAAACAATGACTTTGTTGGACTCTTAATAGGTTAGAGATGTTTTCGTTTATAAGCTGTATTTATACTTTTAGTTATATATGCTTTATGCCTTAGATGTTGAAACTCAAGGGAAAATATTATTATTTTTCTTATACCAAAGTGTACTTGAAGGGCAAAGGACAGAGAATTTTTTTTTCTATCATGCAGTTTATCCATTCTCATATGCTAGTACTTCTGACCCTAACCATCTTAAAATGTGTGGCTTGATACAGTATTGTCAAGGGACTAAATAAAAGAGAAATACACAAAAATTCAAAAATAGAGTTCCTCACAGATATGGCTCCTGTGCAAAAGACATATACTGTAGCCTACTGCACTATTACTGCTATGATATGAGTTTCAAAATATTACACTCTATTTCAAATGTATTTTTAGGTACCTTTTTTCTCCCCCATTCCCAATTACCATAATTTTATTGGAAAAAGTTCTTTTCCAGGATGAAATGATTAATATAATTTTAGCATGTAAAATGAGACTTGCAGAAATCGAGTCTCATTTTATACTCATATCTTGCCTCACTGTATCAGAAACTAAATGAGGCTTATGTATACCCAAAGTCTCCCCCGTAACTTAGAGAATTCAGTGTCTCCTGACTCCTTAACTATACCACTTAGGAAAAGAAACAAAGTGAAGTGTCTCATAGTTTGATTTACATTGAAACCACTTTAATATATGGATGTCATTTGAAATAGACCTTGAGATTTAAATACACTAGTTTTCTAGCCCATTCCATATTTTCAAATGCCACATGTAGGTTGAAAACCTTCAGAGGCTAGCATCCCTACTGGGCCACTCAGTGTGTTGACCATTGCAGTATTCTCACCTGTGCTATGTTCTCCTTTTTTACTAATGAAAGTTATAACAGATTTTTCTGAATGATTTAGTCAAGTAAATTAGGCATTAGACATTATTTATTAAATAGATCTCACTTAAAGGTTAATTGGGGTTTATGTTTCCCAAGACTATGGCCTAAGCAGAGTCTCTGGGATATGGCAGTCTGCTGAGATATGCTAAGAGAGTTCTAGATGGAGAAATGATCACTTTAGAGAGAAGTCCTTCTGTACTGCATATATTCAGGTTTTAAAAGTTGTGGCAAAAATAAGATTTATTATTAGGAATGTGCCTCCTTGAAAACGTACTAGAAATGCATTTAGTCTAAAAACAGTCTGTTGAGTACTTCAGCTGCATCCCCTTCAAGGGAACATTGCCCCACTTACTCTGCCCTAGTTATGCTTTTGTTAGTTATCTGGAAGGAAATGAGAATCATGCGTCTTCCATATTCTTCCTTTACAATCATCAAGTCAGAAAGACGTCTTCTAGACACTCATACAAGAAAAACGTTAAAAAGTAAGAGAAACAAAATAAAGCCAAAGTGATAAACATAGAAAGCTTATTTAAACAGCTGTGGTCCCATATAATTGCTTTTCTGTCAGCAGGACTATTAACAATTTCGGACATTTTAAAATTAAATTAACAGCCTGAAAATATTGTACAGAATGAGATAGAGCATGATACATGAAACATAATGACCCCACTGAAATTCAGCCAAGCCAGTGCAGCTCCTCATTTAGACAGAGAAGACAACTAGTTAATCATCACCGAGCAAATTAGACAGAGCAAATTAGTTTGCTACATTCCACAGTCTTAGATACCAAAAAGAATATATGCCTCTAATTAGAATGAAAGAACTCTAAGCATATTATTATCTGTATAGAAAGAGAAAGCAAGATTGGAGCTTTGAACTGCTTTTATCGAAGTTTGAAGCCTAGGTTATGTAGGTATTAATTACATGTGCAATAGTCTGTATGTTCATGCATGTATGTTCATGAATGTATTCGAGGACGAGCAGTTTTCACATTTTCTTGTATCTTGATCTGACGAAGTCTACGGATTTTCTCCAAGGTTAATTGGAATTCTTTGGGAACAGACACACAAAACATAAAAAAAAGTATGATCCATTTAAGAATCGAAGATAAAGTAGCCTTTTGTATACTTTCTCCTGTATAGTATTAAATTATTTTCTTTTAAAATGTGCATTGTTGTTTTATATGAAATAAATATTTAGACTTAGTTTATCACTAGAGAGTAATCTGAAATCAAATTTTCTGGCCTTAATTAGCATTCATTTGCTTAATTGTCATGCTCAGCCCCATCATTTCCATTTTTCACTAACTTGAACAATGCTATCTTCTGCTGTTTGCACTTTAATTTAAATTTCTATTAAGGTTTATGAACAGTAATAAGGTCCTGTTTGAATATTCATTAGCTTCTGAATTGTGAGCTATGAAAAGGTGCTTTCTTTTACCTTAATGAAACTGGCACAGCATGGGACTGATCAGTTGTGACATTTGATTTGAGGCATCCAGTGAATTTTCTCTTTGTTTATTGACACATCTTGTCCAAACAGCTCCCTCGCAAGTGAGCGGAGTAATGAAGGAGAGAGTGCTGCAGCGGAGTGTCGAGCTTTCCTGGCAGGAACCAGAGCATCCCAATGGAGTCATCACGGAATATGAAATCAAGTATTACGAGAAAGTAAGTGCTAAGAGCAGCTGAAATGCACAACATGCGATGTGTCTCCTGTCGTCCTACTGTATGGTACAATAAGGTTGGTCATCATGCCAACTCTGAGGAGCTACGTCAACATTTATAATTTTGCTCGTTTTTAATAGCCATCTCCATGAATCTCTGGTTCATTATTAGAATTGTGATTTCTGTATATTAAGTTTTTGTGTTATACAAGCGAAAATATTACTCTTGTTGTATATTTATTTATTCCATTTCTGATATCATAATAACTAGATATAGCATGTTGTAGTACCTCAGAAATTACACAGCCCAATATATTTTTAATAATATATTTTATTTTTAATAATTTAGTTATTACATCTGTTTCAATATTTAATGATTGACACACTTTATGCAGTTTCAGTGATAATAGCAATGCCCTCAAATAATCTAGTAATATAAAATAAAAAGAATATTTTGCATAATAAATATGTCATATTTTCCAGACTTAAAAATCAGATGATGTTAGTTCACTTCCTTGAATGATCCCTGAAATGTGTTCCATGTATGTATCATAATCATGCTTATCACTCCTTCCCACCCCCTCCTTCCCTGAAAAATAATATGGCTAAAACTCAAGCTCTACACCTATAATCTTGACATAATTGCTAAATTTTAGTAACTAGTGATATATTTGAGAATATAAGTGTATTTATTTCTGTTTCATTTTGAAAGAAGAAAAAGACATATAAAACATATTCACAAATCAGTATCCAGGCTCCATCTCACAGAGAGACTTGGCTCAAGATTCAAAACATGGAAACTATTGCTATTACTAACAGTAGTAGTAACTACAGGTGTTTTATTATTGATATAAATGAGTTAGTTGAAGTGCAATAATATATATAATGATTTTAACCATTTAGAAGAATTATAAAATAGGGGCCTAAAACTGGTATTAAGATGATTCAATTGAATAAATTGAAATGTACAAAATGCATTGATAATACATACATTTTTCCCTAGAAAATAAAACTAGATAGTTTAAAATCTGATGGAGTTGAAAATAGGTTTGCTTATAATTTACACTTTGAATTTATAATTTCATGCGAAACTTGCATTTTCTTTATTTTAAAAGTTATTTCTTTTGTTTTGTTTGTTTTGTTTTGTTTTGTTTCAATCACCAGAGAGAGAGAGAGAGAGAAAGTGAAAAATTACCCATTAGGCAGGATGGTCATGCCGCAATCTTTCCTCTTCTACTATCCTTTCAGGACTCTGGGCATACACACATGCATGCTCGGCCTGACCCTCAAGCCACCATTGAATTGGCCATGTGGGATCCGACTCCCCAACCTCCACACCCTCAGCTGGCCCCAAAGTTGCTTTTAATAATAACTCATTTAGGTACCAGCAGATGGCCATCCCACGTGTGTGTGGGGGTGATTTCTCACCTTCTGTCTCTCTCTCTCTCTTTCTGGTGAGGGCATGCACCCTATAGCAAAAAACCTCTCCAATAATAATAATAATAATAATAATAATACCTCATTTATTTACCAAAAAATACATCTCTTGTCCCATCAAATATATGTCAGAGCCGATCATTGTTTTATATGTTTGGTTTTTTAAAGATATAATTATTTTCTTTATTTTGACCATATCTTTAAATTAGACCAGAGAGAAACAGAGAGGAAAAATGAGAAAGCAAGCCATCAGATCTGGGACTTGAAGCACAGTCAGCCATGTGGGATACCAGTGCCTTAACTGTCATGCAATCTGCCGGCCCCTGATCATTGTTTTTAATGTTGTTTTTTTATCTGTTTTTCAGGGAGCTCTAATAGTTTTATTACTTCTTAAAACTGGGTCATATTTCAAAAACAATAAAATACGTTTTTGAAAATATAAGTTAGGTGGTGAGAATAAAGTTTTTCACAAGGTAAATCTGAAACATTTTGCAAATCCTTGCTCTAGAATAAATGCACTCAGACAGTATTTTCTCATTTTGCATGACTGTAACAATGTATGTACACTTACTAACTTTGCAAATCGGGCAATTATTAGAAGATAATAGAAGTATATTGCATTATATTATGATGTATACATGTATGTGAATTATGTATCGTTGTGTCTATTATGAATTATGCCTATAATACCAACTATCATTTTTATAAATATTCATAATGATGAAAATCACAGATCACTTTCACTAAGCTGAGCTTACCTATATACTTATCTATACTTTTGCAAATATTAGTGTGAAGGAAAATAAAACAGATTGACATGTAAAAATTTAAGAGGAGAAGTTTATTGCCAGATAAATTTGAATACTGATATTTATTATAGAACAAATAAGAAACAATCTAAAATCATATATTTTGAAGTTTAATTTTTATAACGTATTCATTAAAGCTTATGAGTCACATCAAGAAACTTTAAATTTCTTTACTTAAATACTGTTTGATGGTGTTTTTACATGCTTCAATTTTTATTTTTAGGCCTACATATATGTAAATAAAAATGTGATGTTTTAGGATAAAAAAAATCAGTAACAAAAATATCACATTATTTTAATAAACTGCAAGCCTCAGTTGTCACATCTGAAAAATAAAGAAATTGAACTTGTTAGTGCTTAAAACATTGTCAAACCATAATCCGTATTATATTTAAGCTTTTATATTGACACATTTTATAGAAATAGTTCATTAAATACTATTCTGTATGGATGATTTTATTCTGTGAAAATAAAGTTTTTATTTAAAATAAGTTTGGCGATTTAGCTAACTGAATTTATTGATTTAGTAACTTTCTTAATTGTTAGCATATGGCTTTTTACTTGATGAATAACATTCAGGAAAAAAATTAAGAGAACTACATTAAGATGTGAAGATCTTTACTAAATGATAGGTTTTATAGGGGAACCCACATTTTGATCAATAAAACATTTTATTATGTTACGGGTAAATAGTTCTTACCTGTATGCTCCATCCTAATAAAGCAAAAGCTTAAAACACATAAACATTTTAACAAAAGTAGCTCTCTTTGAAATTTATAGAACAAAAGCATGTGTTTCACATTTACATTTCATATTATTTAAGGTACAATTCAGTGTGATAATATTCCACAAGGTATAATGTAGCCTCTATAAAAACAATGCAGCAAATTGAAATATATTGCAAGAATTGGCTGTCAAGTTGTCTGGTTGCAATCACAATTAAATATTCGCTGTATAAATTCTTTCTAGGATCAAAGGGAACGGACCTACTCAACAGTAAAAACCAAGTCCACTTCAGCCTCCATTAATAATCTGAAACCAGGAACAGTGTATGTTTTCCAGATTCGGGCTTTTACTGCTGCTGGTTATGGAAATTACAGTCCTAGACTTGATGTTGCTACACTAGAGGAAGCTACAGGTAAAATGTTTGAAGGTAATTACCACCTTTGGTTTGGATTCTTACTCTAAATAACAGGATTTTTTTTTTCAATATTGATGGTGATTATTTGCTTCAAGATAATTTTTGCATATAAATATAGGCACACACACACACACACACACACACACAGGGAGACTTCAAAAGTTCATGTAAAAATAGAATTAAAGTACAAGTTCATTTGGCTCCCCCCCAAATTAAAATCCATGCAGTTTTTTCATAGTATCCCTTTTCTGTAAACTTTTGGAAGATTCTTCCCCACTTCTGTACTTTGTGACGTTTATTATTGCTTAATCCTGCTATGCTGTTTAGCAATGTTAGAATTGTGATTTGAATTAGTACCTGGATTTTTTTTCTTTTTTAGGGTAAAGTTAGAAACAGAAACACGACTCCTTCAATTTGTATATTGACACAAGATTTTTTTTTTTGAGAGTTTTTTTTTTTTTTGCGCATGCGCTCGCCAGACAGAGAGAGAGAGAGAGAGAGAGAGAGAGAGAGAGAGACATAGAGACAGAAAGCGATAAATCACCCTCCAGGGGGGATGGTCACACCGCAATCCCTTCTCCTCCATTCTCCTCTTGGGATCTTGGGCACACACGCACACGCTCCTGGCGTGAGTTCTAAGCCAGCGCATCCAGGACGCGAACCACGGTCGACTACGTGGGAGTCCAGTGACATAGCCATTACGCTAACTGCTGGTTCCCACACAAGATGTTTTTGTAGACCTCAAAATGATCTTTCTCTAATTGTATCTATCAGTTACGTTTTCATAGAAACTTCAAAGTAAAGCTGGGCTGTGCACTGGGGTAGACAAGAGAAAGATGGCTTCTAATAGCCCTTGTTAAACTACTGGCCCTTCAGCAATGATTTTAAAAATTGAATAAGAAGATCTTAGGACCTGTAACTTTTTTTTTCTTTACTTTTTGCTATTTTTTTACTTTATTTGTTTAATGAAATAATTCAAGCAGACTAGAGGAAGTATTTAAAGTATATATTCAATATAAGGGAATTAATGAAATGACTAGCCCCATACCTACAAATAAGCTTAAAAATAGAATGTAACCATTATCTTTGAAGACCTTTATCATTTTATGTCTTATAATGTATCATAACATTCTAGTAAAACTTCATGTATATAGAGTATATAACAAGATGTATCTTGTGAAGCTTGTCCCAGTTTACTGTCCGAGTACAAGTTCAGAATACCTTGACTGCCACTGTTAGTTGCTCTTCAGCTGAGAGAAGGCTCAGTGTGTTTTCCAGTATTTTGGAGTTTTAGTATTCTCCTGATGATATTGCTCAGATACAGGATTCACTTACCTTTTCCCTCCTAATTTCCTTGCCAATCTAATGTACCTACAGAATTCTAAGCAAACGCAGGTTGACAAAATGCTGTATGATATGCTATAATTTGTTTTAAAAAAGTTTTGTTTTGTTTTGTTTTTGGAGAGGTTTTTTAGCTATAGGGCGCATGTGCTCGCCAGAAACACAGAGAGAGACAAAGAGACAGAAAGCGAGAAATCACCCCTTGGGGAAATGGCCAAGCCAAAATCCCTTCTCCTCCTTTTTCCTCTCAGGATCTTGGGCACGCACGCACACACACCCAGCATGAGTTTAAGCCACCGGGTCCAGGACTCGATCCACGGTCTACTACATGAGAGTCCAGCGACATAACCATTGCGCTAACTACTGGTTCCTAAAACAAGTTTTTAAAACAAATTAAATCAATGTAATTTTGATCCGAAAGTTATTTTACCCTGAGAATGATTTTTATATTTCTTTTAAAAGTTGGAGCAAAGCGTTAGGTATTGCTTGTTAAATTCACTAACAGAGTTTTTCACAATAGTTTTCTTATCTTTTTAAAATCAATTAGTAACTCTCATAGCAACAACTATAACATGTATGTTGAAATCAATTTGAATTAATCATTTTCTTAGAACTGTAGACATGAAGGTATCAATTTAAAATATTGTCACATAATTTAAGGAGCCATTAATATTGATTTTTTTCAAATCCCTTTTTTTCATTCTTTTTTAGTGTTTATTTCTTCCATAAGTGAGTGCCTCGTAGAGTACTAATTTTGACCACTGTATCACTGTCTGGTCCTTCATTATTATCATTTTTAAATGGGGTATCTTAAGCTAATAATTAGAGTTTCTAAGTCTAGGGGCCCTAAAAGCATTAAACCATTTTAAGATTTCAACAGTGAAACAATTATGTGGCTTAGTATTAAAAACGTACTATGATAGTTTTCATCTCAGATGAATCTGATGAAACCGTCTTGTGATTTCTAACACAGTAAGATTCTTTAGTTATATTTTTTCACATTCTTTATTCTTTTGTTTTCTTTTACTATAGGGCACCTGTGCTCACTGGAGAGAGACAGAGAGAAAGAAAGTGAGAAATCACCCCTTGGGAGGATGACCATGCCACAATCTCTTCTCCATTCTCCTCTTGAGATTTTGGACATGTATGTACATTTTCCCAGTGTGATTTTTAAGCCAACAGGTCCAGGACTTTTAATTGCACAGTCAACCATGTGGGATTCAGGCACCCTAACCTCCCTTTCATGCCACCTGTTGCCTTTTTTTTCATACTCTTTTTTCTTTTATTTTTTTAAGAGAGATTTTTGTAATAGGGCAGGTGTGCTCACTGGAGAGACAGAAAGTGAGAAATCATCCCCAAGGGGGCATGACCACACCACAATTCTTCTCCTCCACTTTCCTCTCAGGATCTTGGGCATGCATCCACATGCTCCTGGCATGAGTTTTAAGCCGCTGAGTCTGGGACTCGAAATGTGGTCAACTATGTGAATCCCGTGACGTGACCATTATGTGGTTCCTGTTTTTTCATATTCTAATGAATAGTTTAAACTTAAATTAGAACATCAACTAGTTGTATCACATGTACTGAAATATTTCATGTCAGTTAAGCACCTTTAGGTTTGAAAACTTTCTGGACCAGCAGATGGCATACTGGCTATGTCACTGGATTCCCATATAGTCAACTGCAATTAGAGTCCCCGATTCAGTGGCTTAAACTCATACCTGGCACTTTTGCGTGCATGCCCAAGATCCCGAGAGGAGAATGGAGAAGAAGGGATTGCCGTGTGGCCATCCCTTCTAGGGAGTGATTTCTCACTTTCTGTCTCTGTCCCTCTCTGTCTTTCTAGCAAGTTTGCATGCCCTACAGCAAAAACCTCTCCAAAAAAAAAAAAAAGAAAAATGTATTTGTGCCTTTTCTGACTATAAATTGAAAATATTGAACCAAAACTCTTATCTATTGAGTACTCGGATTTATAGACACTAGTTTCATTATTCAAAAGAGAAATAGCTAAGGCTCACAGATTAAATTCAAATAATAGGACCTGAATGATCCCATGAAAAGAATGTTAAAAATGGATTTTTGCATTAGAACAAATTGTGATTTTTTTCATCAGAATATTCTCTCAACAATGTAAAGTTGATGGAAGAAGGAGCATGATATGTTCATATTAGTGTCTTGCTTAGGTTTGCTATAGCACTTGGCACATAGAAGATACTCAGTAAATAAGAAATAAAGGAATAAGTCACACTCATCAGTTTAGAATATTTATCAGTATCAATCAGTGCTAGCAGACACACTTCAAATCTCTGCTATGTCACAACCAGTGGTAGGGTTTTTGATAAGCTACTTCTTTATACCCCAACTGCTAGGATGGCAATACCACTATCACAGGAAAGTCTGTGGATTAAAGAAGTGACTGTACACAAAGTGCCAAGCATAATGCCTAGCATGAGAAGTCTTAAGTGTTGGCTCTCATTATTTATTGGGTTGTCTGAAAAGTCATGATGCAATATGTCATGACTTTTCTGACCACCCAATAACAGAGCCATTTTCAAACATTTTTTTAATCTCAAGAATTAATTATTCAAAAATATTGAGGCTCCCCCAAAGATATTTTGTTTCTTTAGGTTTTATCTACTTATATTCACCACATTAGAGATTAAATTTGAAATGTTGTAACACAAGAACGTGCAAACACATTTCATTAGTCATCCAAGTTTCATTATCACATGCCATGTAGCTTTTAGAATATTTAACTCTAGTCTTCTGAGCAAATGAAAGTGATAAAGACAAATGACATTCATACTCTATTCAAATAATATTGGCCTTACAGTTCCCCAGAAAGCTCTTCAGGTCTCTCAAAGATTCTCAGACTACCTTTGGAGAGCTGCTGATTAAGCACAAGTCACTGTGCTAAGAATTAGGGATTCACAGTGCTCTCAGTTTAAAGCATACTGAAAAGGAGCGACAGATACACATATTCTGGCCATGCAATTCAGCACTCGTGGGGTTATCAGCATGTCAAGAAGCAGTGACTCATTGTGCTAGGAAATAGCACGAGGGAAGATGCCACAGAGAAGCAGGCACTTGAGCAGTGTTTGTAAAGAGAAGTTAAAGAGACTCTTCCATTGTGCTTACATCTTAAAATTCTCTACTAGGCAGTGTCAAATCTACTGCTTTTACAATTTGTAAACTATGGCATTCTGATTACAGCCTTTACAAATTACTTGTAAAATGTAATACCCATGAAATATATGAAAATACCGACTATAAATGTCAGCTGGGTTGCTTAAAGTGTGACTCGGACTACATATAAAAATGTATGAATAAATATTCACAAATTCTGATTCAGCATTCACCTGAGTTCAGTTTTCTCATTGGAGTTCTATTTTCAAAGCTAGGGGAAAAACTGATCCTACCGCAAGCAAAGAATTAGACTCATGGGGCACACTGATTGAGTGGAAAATATTTCTACACATGTGTGTATAATTTTTCCTTCCTCATCAGTAGAACTACTCCCTATTTTCCTCTCTTAATATGTGTAAAAAGGCAGATAAAAGCAAATACCAATCAAACCAAACAGATAAAAATATGTGAAATCTTCTTTGTTGTATGGAGAAATCAGCAAATGGTGAAACAGGGAGTGTATACTATACCCTTGTTCAGAAATAATCTGTTAGACCAGAAGTATTTTTACTATTTTTAAATATAGGATCTATTTCTTGTCAGCATAAGTATACAAACAACTCAAAGATAGGTTTTCGAAAGGAGACAGAAGTAGGTAAACTAGAGAAAGCCCAATCAAAAAATGGCTTGGTGCTGTCTATTGTGGCGAGATAAATGCTGCCTACATACGATTCGCTGCCCTGGGGACACAATCCCTTAGCACCAAGAGCAAGGAGTGGTGTTTTCCATCCTGCCTTACATTAAAGAATACAGCTATTGATCCAGAAGTAAACAAACTACTAGTTTGACAATATATAGTATATCATATTTACAATTGGATCATTTTGGGGGGATATACACTTTCATTATTAGATCTATCTTTGATGAGTTTTGAAATTTATACTGTTGCTGTTAATATAACACTCTGGGGAAAACATGACAATTGTGAATCATCATAAAAGTAAAACTTCACTAATTTGGAAAATGGAAGTAATAAATGCACATCACTTGGAAGACTTCTGATTCAGAAGCTATTTTTAAGGACACATAAACATGAACTTATTCCCAAAGGGACTCTCAGAAAGGTACAGCTGGGCCTGCCTTAATGAGGCTGTATAAGAATCACTTAGTATTTTTCTGGATGTGTCTACAATTAAATGATCATAAAATATTTTTCAAATATTTGTAGAAGGCTTGCTTTTTTATAACGAGGCCAGTTCCTCTATAATCTTAAACGCTCAACTGTATTTACTGCATACCCTGTGTTTATGAAAATGAACACAAGTAATCCAGCTCATCTCTTTTGCAAATTAGAGTGGACTGTACATTCTTGGTTCTTTGCTATGATTACGTAATGCTTTTTCTTTTATATTTATGATATAGCAGATAAGGCTTTAAGAATACACTGTATTTTTTGGTTTCTAGGTTACATGACAAAATAAAAAACACAAAGGGATTGGATACTTAGAAGCAAACAGACATTTATTAGTACTCATGGCTCAAATATTTCTCTCTTGACTCATAACTAAACTTTCAACAACTAAGCAGAGATATACCCATTCAGTACAACATTTTTTAGTGTCTCTTTTACCTATGAAAAGTAAAATAATTGAAAATATTGTCCTTAGTACTTCTTTAAAATACTAAAACAAATATTTAAATTTACATGGTTACAAACATTGCATTTAATAAAAGTACAAGTGAATTAAATAGAATAGATAGCTCGTTGTTTTTAACTTCTCAGAATGGTAGCCAGTGTTTTTGACCCTATTTTCTCTGTTTTCAGCAACAGCTGTTTCCAGTGAACAAAATCCTGTTATTATAATTGCTGTGGTTGCTGTGGCAGGGACCATCATTTTGGTGTTCATGGTGTTTGGCTTCATCATTGGAAGAAGGTAGAACGTGAAGTTCTAATCTGTAACATTAAATGTATTGATTTTTCAGAATTATGTCATCCTGTTGCTTATTTAGAATACTGGAATTTTAAACAGTAAATGCACATTTTCTTTGACTGATATAACACAATAAAAGCCAAGACATTCAAATATAGTATATGCCTTTGGTTTAAGGTAACTAAGTATCGTATTTTCTCTTAGGTGAATTTGTGTTAGTTATTTTCAGTGCTAGGTGTTCATAATAAATGTAAAGGATATCTTGGGAAATTTTGAGCCCTTGTAGTTATTAAAATAAAAGACTATGAAAACCATTAAAAGTAGGGACCAGCAGTTAGTGTAATGGCTATGTCATTGTACTCCCATGTAGTCGACCGTGGTTCGCATCCTGGACCCGGTGGCTTAAAACTCATGCCGGGCGCATGTGCGTGCGTGCCCAAGATCCCAAGAGGAGAATGGAGGAGAAGGGATTGTGGCGTGGCCATCCCCCCTGGGGGGTGGGTGATTTCTCGCTTTCTGTCTCTCTGTCTCTCTCTGTCTGGCAAGCGCTTGCGCCCTATAGAAAAAAAGCTTCTCCCAAAGAAAAAAAAAATTAAAAGTCAAGAGTTATCACAAAAAAAGAGAATAAATTTTTACTCATTGATAAATCTAAATCCACAAAAATTGTTCCTTCCACATTGTCTCACACAGACATTTCTTTTTGTTTTGCACCTGAGGATGGTTGTACTCACCAGAGAAAGGGGGAAAGGAGAAAGCACTTCCTATGGGGAATGATCATTCTTTAATCCCATCTACCCCACTTTTCCCTCCTTGGCATTTTGGGCACCTATGAACACATGCCTGGCATGTTTCTTAAGAAACTGGGTCTGAGATTGGAAACACACATGTGAGGTCTGGCTACCTTAACCACTAGGGCACAGGGCTGGCCCAAGAAATTGATTTCTGTGCATTTAAAAAAAATGTGAAATATTGTATTAATACTAAATGGGTTCATAGCTCTAACTATTATATAGATAAATAACTAAGATACATACTACTAAATTTTAAATATCTAAATTAAGATGACTAATTGGGATTGTCGCAAATTTGCTTTTTGTCTAGGCACTGTGGTTATAGCAAGGCTGACCAAGAAGGAGATGAAGAACTTTACTTTCACTGTAAGTGTTTGGCTTTTCTTTATTTTATGCATCCCAACTAATCTAGAAATCTGGGCATTAATATTGGCATGAACAAATTCTTAGTGTATCATGCTCAGAATTACATAATGACGTCAAAATGTTGCTATAAAACTTTCAAGCAAGATATTCAAGATGAAAATCATATCATGTGAATTTGAAAAAATAAAATATGTTCAGAAATGCAATATAACTATGGGATATTCAACGACTTCTACAACATGACTTACCATTTGCAAACTTTGCCCAAGTGTTGCTTACTATTCCAATAATAATCCATTAAGTGTTGCACGTACCTGTGACTTAGCAAAGGAGCATCATTTCAAGTTAGCAAGACAGGCTCTTTTTTCACCCTTAGCCTTTTCTCCCATAAAAGGCTAAGCTAAGAAACTTCTTCCTATTTAGCTATTATAAATTCTCTATCACCGATAGCTATTTCACAGGCCATAAATAGTGTAATAATAGGATTCAAACCTCTGAGATTTTCCTATAGGGACCCAGTGAAAATACCCATCTGCTCATCTGTGTTCATCTTACTGTTATTGTTAGGTGGTTGTCAAGTGAAAATGAGAGCCATGCAAATAAATGTTATACTTCATGCAAATGAAATACAAATCTAATAATCAAATTATTTCAGTTCTGATCATTAATGATGTTCTTATCCAAACCCACTATTTCTATGCTTTATCATTGAGAATAATAAAAATAAATTTTATTTATTAATTTCCTTAATGCCAAGATTCTTTACTAATTTTTCTCATACATGCACAAGTTTTATATAAAAGGCATAAGAATTATATTTTTCTCACAGTATTTATCAGATTCTTATGTCAATATCTCAGATTTATCATGTACCCATCCTAAATTCACAAGAATATGTAAGCTTCAGCCAAGAATTTCTAATCCATCCTATTATTTTTAAAAAAACATGAGTTGTGTGGCTTAAATACACAAATTATGAATGCTGTTATTACTCTTCCTAAATTTCTTCAATGTGTTGTGTTTGTTGAACCAATGCTTACCTTGTTTTTAGTTTTCAAAAGAGAAGTGGTTTTATGTAATACAGATCCAAATTCAATAAGAAACTCCATAGAATTCCAACCAGAGAAGGTAGGCAAGGCATGGGAGATAACACAAATTACTACAGATTAAAGTAAAATATATGACCAGAGGTGGATTTATCATGAAATTTAAACTTCAAGGCCCCTCACTTTTGCAGATGCCTTTCCAGTCCCTTGTAATACCTTAGAAGTTTTATGTGTAAAATTAAATATTCTTTTACTTAAAGAGGAAAGTCAAATTGTATAAAGGTGAAGCCTCACAAACTTGAATCTACCTTTGATTATGAGTGAATAAGGATGATACTTCTACCAGTCTGGGACTGTTGGATGTGTTCCCAGTGTTTGAGGCTCCTTTTGCCAGTTTGACAGAGATTTTCCAAGCCGTACTTATGAGAGCCCTGTAGACAGCACATAACTAGAGGATATACGGGAAAAGTGGAGGGTACATGTTTTTCTCATTCATGACATGAGACACTATTTTTTAACACTTCTTTAGACAAGAAGGAGAGACACAAAACTTGACACTTAATTTTTTATTTGTAGCCCCACGTGTAAATAGAATAACCTACGAATCCCAGATCCTACCCTTATCTGAATATTTTAATGGCACAGTTATATATTACTACCGTAACAGTATGTCACTTTTCTTCATTTATTATGTCTGAGATGGGTCCAAATTATCAAATGTATTTTAGTGTATTTGCTTTTAATTCTCTGGCTAATGAAGAAGGTAAATTGAAATATAGCTTATCCAAAGCTTGTCTCATAACCTCATACTTAAGTGTCATCATTCAGTTTTAATATTTTGGTGCAATTCACTTTTTTCACATTTCATACCCAATTTGTAATCAGAAAAAACATAATTGCATGTCTTACTTGCTAATATAGACAAGATAAGCTTGGTGTATATGAAGTTTTCAGCTCTGGAACAAACTATCAATGGTGGTTTTAAAATATTTAACTGTCATGAGAAATGTAAATGAGATATTGAAACACGAAAAAGATCTTAAGTTGGGATAAGCAACAGACCAGAATATTCGGAAATTAAGTCAATATTTTATTTTAAAACATTCATTTTTTAAATAAATAATGGTAAACAATGAAGTACACTAAATATACCCTGTCCTGGTAAATCCTTGATATTTTTGAGTCTCTCTTTAAAAGGATATATTTTCTTTTCATTTCATGAGAACCAGGCATTTGATTTGATTTGATGACTGTGTCTAACATACGTAAAGTACAACACTGTAGGCACCATCTATTTACAAGTTGGTGTCCTTTTATTCCTTTAGTACACGGACAATTTTCTTAGATGCTAAGACATCAGATTGAATTTTTACAGAAACTTGAAAGCAACCATTTAACTAGCTTTTAGAGCTCTGAATTTAATAGAATGTCCAGTCATTTGTATCAGGCACCCTCAACTCTCTATGGCCCCAAGTGCTACATTTAAAGATATAAACACAATGGAGGAGTTTAGTGAAGCAATTCCAATTTACATTTTGTTTCCTCCTACTATTTCCCCTAACAATGTCTTCAAATCCAAGCTGGGCAGTATTTCATGTTTTTATGTCAGAATAGCTCTGGCCTGTCAAAATGTTTTATGACAGCTTGAATAAAGAACCATCAGAGACCTGTTTGAGATGCAGAAGGTTACCTCCAATCTAGCTCCCTTATCAAAAACAAAAACAAAAACAAACAAAAGAGAGAGAGAGAAAGAAAAAATGAAAAAAAGAATAAAAAGGGAGAAGATGGCTCATTCTCCATCTACCTACCAATCTAGGAGGTTAACCTATTGTTTTCTTCCCTTCTCTCTTTTTCTCTTCCCCCTCCCCTCTTCCCTGTACTCCTTCTCTCTTTTCTCTTCCTATCCCCTCTCTCTTTTCTTCTTGTGTTGTTGTTTTTTTTTCATGTTCAGCTTTAGTAACAAATGAACATCTGTCAGTTTTATAAACTGCAACAATAATTGTTTAAGACAATCAATTTTGGATAAACAATCAACAACAACAGAATAAATCAAGATTTTTTAATTCCATTTTCCTTTATACATTCTGCTTCTTTTTGTTTGTTATGTGTTTAGTTTTAAAATATAATTTTAATTTAATGTGATGACATAAGCACTTTACAAGTTGGTGTCCTTTTATTCCTTTAGTACACGGACAATTTTCTTAGATGCTAAGACATCAGATTGAATTTTTACAGAAACTTGAAAGCAACCATTTAACTAGCTTTTAGAGCTCTGAATTTAATAGAATGTCCAGTCATTTGTATCAGGCACCCTCAACTCTCTATGGCCCCAAGTGCTACATTTAAAGATATAAACACAATGGAGGAGTTTAGTGAAGCAATTCCAATTTACATTTTGTTTCCTCCTACTATTTCCCCTAACAATGTCTTCAAATCCAAGCTGGGCAGTATTTCATGTTTTTATGTCAGAATAGCTCTGGCCTGTCAAAATGTTTTATGACAGCTTGAATAAAGAACCATCAGAGACCTGTTTGAGATGCAGAAGGTTACCTCCAATCTAGCTCCCTTATCAAAAACAAAAACAAAAACAAACAAAAGAGAGAGAGAGAAAGAAAAAATGAAAAAAAGAATAAAAAGGGAGAAGATGGCTCATTCTCCATCTACCTACCAATCTAGGAGGTTAACCTATTGTTTTCTTCCCTTCTCTCTTTTTCTCTTCCCCCTCCCCTCTTCCCTGTACTCCTTCTCTCTTTTCTCTTCCTATCCCCTCTCTCTTTTCTTCTTGTGTTGTTGTTTTTTTTTCATGTTCAGCTTTAGTAACAAATGAACATCTGTCAGTTTTATAAACTGCAACAATAATTGTTTAAGACAATCAATTTTGGATAAACAATCAACAACAACAGAATAAATCAAGATTTTTTAATTCCATTTTCCTTTATACATTCTGCTTCTTTTTGTTTGTTATGTGTTTATTTTTAAAATATAATTTTAATTTAATGTGATGACATAAGCACAGTTAGGCTGCAGTGTAATATATAACTATATTGTTCTCCAAATAGTAAGATTTAATGACAAGATTGTTCGGTGGCTTTGTCAAAACAATAAAGTTTTTTTGAGGATATAGTGTAATTTTTTTTCATTGCATTACTATAACCAAATATATGACTATCTATCTTATCTTTGTCTTTAACCAAATGAACAATTTGGAATACATGATTGTAACTGACTTTGATTTAAAGTTGACATAACATTATCTGTTACCTGCATGCTTCTGGGTGCATTTAAGAAGATTTTAACTTTTGAGATGACTCTATGTTGTTTGAATTTTGACTACCTTTTGTAAGGCATATTGGCTACCTCCTCATAGCAGTTGAGATCTTCCAGAGCCTTATAACTGAAAGTTCGTATAAATCATTACTCTTTCAAATCACTGTCATACTTGATTAACAGATCCCAGGAATATTGTAAATTTTCTAACTTTACTCTGCGTTTTGTACATCTGGCCTCTATTGCCCTTCAAGGTGAAGATGAAACTATGTCTTTAGAAGATTTCTCTTTGATTCTGTGATAGCAATCCCTCACATCCTGTATTAATTTTATGTATATGTCAACCGTGGTTGGTCTTTTAAAAATAAATCAAAAGAATAAGTAAGATGTCTAAATGTTTTTAATATTGCTGTCAGTGTAGTAGGCTACCTGTAAATGAAATGTCTTCTTTTCCCAGTGTATTAATTTGACTGATTGACTGATAGATTTACAAATGTGTTTCCAAGTCCATTATAAACCTCAGTATGGCTTGACTGTGCCATGATAGCAGTGAATTTAATTAAACCTCAGTCTGATAGGCACGTCACAAATTTTGGTGGATGTCTTTTGTTGACTTACTGGAAAAGCAATTCAGTTAGTAACTTATGAGCTGGATCCTATGTTACCTATAGAAGCTTGCAGATAATACATATACGCCAACAGACCGAAGTAGTCTGTTAAAACTACTGTGAATCAGGTGATGTGGAAGCAAGTTCACTGTTCCAAGGAGCACTCTGCATAATGAAATTCCTGGGCTGACTGCACAATAAGTGCTTTGCTTCATCACAGTCATGCTTTCTTACATCATTACAGTTAAATTTCCAGGCACCAAAACCTACATTGACCCTGAAACCTATGAGGACCCAAATAGAGCTGTCCATCAATTCGCCAAGGAGCTAGATGCCTCCTGTATTAAAATTGAGCGTGTGATTGGTGCAGGTAAGGCTGTTGTAGCTTCCTTGTTCAGTTGTTCCATTTAGCCAAGATCGAAAGTCGTACATCATAATGACAGGCAAATAATTATGCCTCAAGTATAGAACTTTTGCATTTACCTGAACTGTTAGGAGCAATGAGGCTGTTCTTGTTTATGAAATCTTAAGGAAAAAGTGAAAAAGAAACATGTGACACTGAATCTGTGTATCTATTTATGATTTTCTATTAGAATTTAAAGGTATTATTCTAATACAAGCTATTTCATAATAATTCTGACCTATTCAAGAAATGATTTAGTATTTTTTAAAAAGAATTTTCCTGAATTTTTCAAGAATATACATTTCCTCTTATTTGATTTTCCATATTCTTGCAAAGCTTTCATTTTTTTTCCCTTGTATTTGTAGGTGTTAGCATTATGCTGTTTAAATCCATGTATGACATAAATGTACTTGATTTATTGATGTTTAGAGAGATATTATTTTCTGTGTGTACAATGTACTTTAATAATAATTATACATTTGTAGATTCAGGTCTTTTAAATATAGCAGAAATAGTGCATATAAATTCCAGACTTTAAAATCTTTAATAAATATTTGCTTCTCAAACTTCAAAAGCAATACGATATATAGAATTTGCTAATGTGCCCTTAAGCTTTAGTAGGCAGGATGGGTTATACAGCATGTTTCAAATCTAAATGTTGACTCAGAAAGAGTGCTTTTAATCCACATGAAAAATAATAACTTGTGTCAGTTTAGAAAAACTTAGCATCCATGAATGAGCTAAAATGTATCTTCATGTTTTGATTGCATTTATGACATTCTTTTCATAAACAATTTCATTGAATCTAAGAAATAAAATCACTCCTATATGGGAGTGTGATCAGTATACTTTGCCTTACAAAATATTTTTGAAAATGATTCATTATTTCATTAAAGTTTTTAAAACATTTAAAGCATTTACTTTGAAAAAGATCAATACACTTTCTTGTTCTGTTTCCTCAGGAGAATTTGGAGAAGTCTGCAGTGGTCGTTTGAAACTTCCGGGGAAAAGAGATGTTGCGGTAGCCATAAAAACCCTGAAAGTTGGCTACACAGAAAAACAAAGGAGAGACTTTTTGTGTGAAGCAAGCATCATGGGGCAGTTTGACCACCCAAATGTTGTCCATTTGGAAGGGGTTGTCACAAGAGGTAGATATCATTTCTTCAAATGTCCTGATTATCAGAAATGAATATCATTGTGCTCATCATAAAAAAATAAAATTGTGGACATATTGATATTTAACTAAACAATTCTTTTATGCTACGTCCTCAGAGGAAAAAAATCAGAAAAAAAAGAATGCAGAATTAGAGTTGAAGAATAAATCTGGTAGCTGGAATGACTGATAAATGTATTTATTTAGCTTCAAAACCTCAAACTGATATGGTTTCATGTTTATTATATAAAACATCACTTTCTCTGAATTTTGCTCACAAAAAAAGATTCAAAAGAACACACTGACTTGTGTGTGTGCAGTTTAATATTATGAATCATGACCCTGTTCTAGGCATATATTTAATGACTTTTTAAGCTTAGCAGTCCCACTAGGAACATGAAAAACAGCTCTCATCCATGCAGGTTTTCAAAAAAGTATTAGAGTTGCAAGGGGCAATAACTATGAAGTTTAAGTAACAGCTTTTCAAACAACTTGTATTATTGTTATTTTTATTTTAGGGAAACCAGTCATGATTGTAATAGAATTCATGGAAAACGGAGCCCTAGATGCATTTCTCAGGGTGAGTATCAACATTATCCTCCCATTATAAATATACTATTCATGCTACCAATATAACTTTATGAACTGCTATTTTTTCACAAAGTGAGATGTGAACATCCTAAACTGTAAGAGGTCAGAAAATTATCTTTGAAAAGCATGTTAATAAAGTCCTAGCATGGATTAAGCTGGAATCTTTTGAGCATGTAAGTGATACAATGTAGTTAAAGTAAAAGGCTCTCATTAATATCATTACCTGAAGTACAGAGGACACCTGAAGCCATGTGATTTGAATACATGCAGAGCAGCATATGTGAGGGGACGTCAAAAATTTAGTGGGAAATGGAATTAAAGTGTGAGTTTATTTTGGTTCAATTTTTAAAATTTGTGCATTTTTTCCATAATGTCCATTTTCTGACTCCCCATGTACAAATATAAATCAAAGATAGCCATAATACAAAAACAAACAAACAAAAAACATGAGGGAGATCACCATTCACCATTGGCATTATGATCTCACTTCTACATTGTTGCAACAATTCTATTATATTGTGAATGCCTAGCGTAAAATGTATAATTATTAAAGTGCTAAAAACTGTACTGGTATGCATTTTTTCTTTGTAAATGATAAACCCTAAATGGATAGAGGTACATATTTTTACTCAGAAGTTTTTCACCTAAGAATATGAACACATGTTCACATTATTCCAAGTGGCAAAGAGAGAATAGTCTAAGGAATAGGAGGACATGCAGTTATTTTAAATGATCTAGAATTAATCCCAGATTTATAAGAATTTAGTGGAATTTTTATTGTTCCATCACCATGATATATAACAATCAGCTCTCTGGAGCATCACCTAAGAAGTTCATCAACTCAGACCAACATTTTTCATGTAGAATGGTTTTATTCCTGCAGGAGAAATCCCTGGATTAAAAATGGGTTAGAAATATATAGTGGCCAATTTGACTGAAAACAGTTCTCAGTTCTATCTGCTGGTACAGCTGCCATTGAGAATCTTTGTTGCAAATGAAGTTCCTACCCAGTGTAATCATTTTCTATTTCTTAATTTCTCTTCCTTTTAACTCAAGCATTTTCTTCTTTTATTATTTGGAAAAAATATATGTGTATTTATACAATATTTTTGGCATTTTTGTAAACAGCTGACAAGGGTAATATATTTAATTATTTCTTTCCCTTTTACTTAAACATTAGCATATACTATTGGATTTGTATAATATCAAACTATTACTTTTTAAAATTTATTTTAGTTTGCTATAGGGCACATGCACTCACTGAGAGAGATGAGAAAGAGAGAGAGAAAGGGAAAGTGAGAAATCACTGCAGGGAGGGGTCAGTTCCCCTCTGGGGATTTTGGACAGGCATGCACACATCCCCAGTGTGTTTTTCAAGCAGCCACTGAGCCAGGACTCAAACTGTGCTGTTGGCCATGTGAGATCCAGCTGCCTTAACTCTCATAGTACCTGCTGGCCCTCAGACTACTATTAGTTAATAGCTAGATAACAAATTAGGGCCAGCCCCATACCTAGAGGTTAAGGAACCAGAATCCATATGACAGACCATGGTTCCAGCCTTGGCGTCTTAAAAAACATACCAGGTGCATGAGTGTGCATGTTCCAAATCCTAACAGATAAATGGATGGGAAGGGATTAATGCATGAACATACCCCATGTGGGTCCTGTCACTCTCTTTCTTTCTCTCTTCCTCTCTCTCTCTTCACCCCTCGTCTCTACCTTATTTTACTTGGCTGTCAATCAGCACATTAGTTTTTTCACAGGCATCTATATTACGTGAAATGCATAAACAATTCCTGTTAATAAATGAGCAGTATGCAGACATTTTTCATGGTGATTTCTGTCCATTTTGAATTACAGTTAATCAGACTTTTATTTCATCCTCCTGCAGAAACACGATGGGCAATTTACAGTCATTCAGTTAGTAGGAATGCTGAGAGGAATTGCTGCTGGAATGAGATATTTGGCTGATATGGGATATGTTCACAGGGACCTCGCAGCTCGCAATATTCTTGTCAATAGCAATCTTGTTTGTAAAGTGTCAGATTTTGGCCTGTCCCGGGTTATAGAAGATGATCCAGAAGCTGTCTATACAACTACTGTAAGAAAAAGTTCATTACTGTACTTCTTTACATAAGATTTTCTTACCAAGAAAGCAGGGTTTAATAATATAAAAGTAAAAAAAAAAAAAAGGAAAATACACAAATTGATTTACAGTTCTTGTGGGTAATGTTTTATTCTTTGGAAAAATTATTATTGCTTTTATAATCTAAATATAAAGTTACAGAATGATAAGGATAATATGCTTAGGTTATATTTGGATGTTATATTAACAGTGTACAGTTCTGTAAAACAAAATCTGGTTGCTAGCATTCAAAATTGTAGAAGAAAAATGTAACCACATTTTAAATAAAAATTTTAAGATATTATTAACTGTCTTAATTTTTACAACTTTGAAAATATGTATTTATTTCATTTTTTATTATTATCATTTTAAAATTTGCTGTAGGACATGTATGTTCACCAGAAAGACACAGAGAGAACATGCGAATGCAAGCTTTCAGGTTTGGGATTCAAACCCCAGGTGGCTATGCAGTGCCTTAACTAGCATACCACCTACTGGCCTGATATTAGGATATTTATAGCATTTTGTGATTAGAAACACAGAAAAATTACGAAAACTTGTTTAAATACCCCAAATTTTATTCCATTTTGCTACTAACTTTGCCTATTTTGTCACTGTCTTTTCACTAGACTCTGCCCTAAGGTCAGTAGGACCCATTAAATTGAGTTGCCCTAAAAATAAAAAAAGTTGTAATGAGATTGTAAAAAAACAAATTAGTAACATTAAATACACTTGGAGAGACTCAGATAGAGCTGATACTGCCGAACTGCCAACCAAATACACAAATATTTAGCAGTAGCTTTATGGTATTGCTACACATACTTTAAACATTATTGTATGTATTTGAATGTTAACTGTTTTTATATAACAGGGTGGAAAAATTCCAGTAAGGTGGACAGCACCTGAAGCCATTCAGTACCGGAAATTTACATCAGCCAGTGATGTCTGGAGCTATGGGATTGTCATGTGGGAAGTTATGTCTTATGGAGAAAGGCCTTACTGGGACATGTCAAATCAAGATGTAGGTATTACACTTCTTAAACAAAGAGGATTTAATATATTAATACTCATTATTATGGAACATGTAGGTAATGAATGTTTCAGTAAGAACCAAATTTTGTACAATTAAAAATATAACAATTAGTCTTCCACAGTTATTACCACAAATTATCACAATTATTACCGTCAAATGGTAACTGCTGGTCCCACTTCCACTTTTTGATTTAAGTTTTGTTAACATAATAGTAGTCTAAAAAAACGATTTCTTCCATAAGAAAGATGACAATGCTGTAGTGGCAGTCACATACATGAGTAAAAGTAACCTTTGTGAAGAGGAATGGAAGTAAGTTTGTGTTTTGTTTTGTCCTTGGAGTTTTTCTTTTACCTTTCATGTTCTGAGAAAATCACTTTAATACCTCTTGTTGATTGGTTTAATTAAATTTTAATATCATGGGACTATCTAATTTTTTGATTAATATTATCAAGTGTTTCATAGTGGTAAATTAAAACACAATCAAATGGTAGTATCCTCGGAAATACCTACCAAAAAAAAAAAAAGGTCTTACTAAGTGTCTATACCCTCTTGCTATGAGGGCATACTAGGTCATAAAGTATACTGTTATCCTTTGAGAATGGAAGCCAATGGTAGTCTGCATATGTCATGCCGAGAGATCATTCATGAAACAATGTAGCCTAAACGCAAGCGAGTATTTGCTTTTATTAGGTTGAATTTTATAAGATTGCTATTTTTATAGGTCAAGAACATTCAAATTTGACAGAATTAAAAATGATTCAATCTACAGAAAATGCAAGTGAAATTTAGATAAATGTATGGCAAGTATAAAATTTTTGAAGTTGCTCTGGATTATACCAGAAATTTGTGGAAGACCTTATTTCATAGCTAATGAAAAAGTCCCCAAGGGAACACTTTAGAAAATTCAGAACTGAATGTCTTAGCAACATATATGGAGAGTAACTAAATAGACTCACTCTCCTTTGACAAAGATGAAACTCAGTGGTGTAAACTGGCATGAAGATTAAGTCGGTAGTAACTGAAGGAATGATTTTTTTCTGGAAAAGTTTGGGTATAAGTGGAAGTTCTTAGAAGGTGGAGTAAGCAGCTAAGTAGTACTTAAGAAAACTCTACATTGCCATTTAGAAAAAGAATGATTAGTAAATTGGTTTTAAGTAGTTAATCTTTGAGGAATAGTAAATATAGACAGCAATAGAAGCCAACTATAGTTAAAATTGAGTTATAGGCAGCATCCTGAAAATGCTTCTGGAAAATATATATGATTGAAAAGCTGAATCTCAAAAAAAAATTTTTGCACAAAGATAAAGTCATACTTTAATTCCATTTTTCTTGGGGCTTTTTCAAATCTCTTCACATTTCAAAAGAGATCATAAAAAGCATTAAATCAATATATTTGCTTTTAATTTTAGGATTGCCCATATCAAGTTCCTTTGACTTTTATATTAACTTGTAAATAGTTACTGTTGGACAAGTAAACTAAGACTATTCGTAAGTTGTTGGTAAGGTTATTTTGGTTTCACTTACCTACAAATTAACTGAAAAGTTCACAGCCCAATAAGGAAAAGATTTTAAGTCAGTTAAGTCTTTTGATATTTTGAAATGAGTGATGACATTAAACTTTTTCTTTCTTTTTTTTAATTTTTGCTTTAGTTTTTCAAAGATAAAAGTCTAAATGATGAGTTGGTTTGGCAGAGGCAAAGTTGTTAATATTTGACAGGTCTCAGTGTCAAAGATTTCATGGACTGTCAAAATGTGGGCAAACAAATCCTTGGGGCAGAGAAAAAGAAATATTTACATTCCCCAGACACTCCATAGAGTTTCATTTCTTTTGACACCTTCCTTCTGTACTAGATTCAAACATAAAGGGACTGACAGGAATATGAGATGACTTAAATTCAGAGTTCACTTAACTTCTAAGAACAAATAGTAGTAATGGTTAACTTAAAAAAAAAAAACGACCTCTACTTTAAACTTTAAAAAAATTCCCTAGGTATTATTTCATTGATTTGCTTGAAAAGGAACTTCATAAAAAAATTTAATAAATTAAAAAATATTTTTAGTAATCAATTGAAATGGTTCTGCTTACATAAACTTATTACCAGAATATTTAGTACCATCTTTTTCTTTGAAGGTATGAATGGATTATTAAATTTGACACTGCTTTGTATGATAAGAGATTCCATATATAACTTAGTTTGTATAATAATAGTAATATTCCTCTTACTGAGCAATATTCATTATTCTATAATAACATTTAAATGCTATTTGAGCAATACACGTTTAATTTTCAATATGTAAATGGAGAACTTAATAATTCAAAATAATAAATTTCATTCTGGGATAAAATTTGTAGATAAAAACTCTTCTCCTTGGTCTCTCTGTTAGGAATTCACAGAGAGACTTAAAAAGCTGTCAACTCCCTGATCCTTGTGGTAAATCTTGTGTGGATGTGAATATATTGTATTTTTCTGGGAAAGTTGCCTTCATCAGATTTTTAAATATATTCATGTTTTAAGAATTAGCCTAGATAGGCTTATTAAGTCAATCAATTCACTTTGCATTGTTGAAATTTAGTTGCTAGGAATATGTGAGTTATTTTAGAAAGCCTTTTAATTTCAAATGCATCTGAGATTATAAGGTTTTTTTATAACATCATGAAAATAAGATATAAATTGATGGTTACATTTCTAAGCAAATCCACAACATTTCTAAGCAAGTCCACAGAATTCCACGTCAAGGGCTGAATAAGGCGAGGCTTCTGTAGACTCCTAGAACATAGAAAAGAGAAAGAGATGGTGAAGTTAGTCAATCAGTTGTCAGGTGGTTTTAGTTCATTCTGGACAGAGCAGTGAACCAGGAAAACTTGGGAAAAGATAATATGTATATTCATGATCAGAGCTGTGCTTAAATAGGTTATTGCCTGATTAACACTTGAATGAGCTCTTTTGTATTTTCATGTGCCTATAACATTCTTGGAGAAAGCAATTGAATTTGGTTATTTGCTATTAAAATCAAGAGGTTACGCTTACAAGAAAATTTCTAATTTTATTCTTCTGAAAAAATCTGCATATATTTAAATAGCTCTTTCAGGGACCAGCATTTGGCATAATGGCTGTGTCGCTGGACTCTCATGTAGTTTACAGTGGTTCGAGTCCCAGACCCAGTGGCTTAAACTCATGCCAGGCATGTGTGCATGCGGCCCAAGATCCCAAGAGGAGAATGGAGAAGGGATTGCAATGAGGCAATCCCCTGTGGGGGTGATTTCTCGCTTTCTGTCTCTCTGCCTGTCTCTGTATTTCTGGCGAGGGGATGAGCCCTATAGCAAAAACCTCTCCAAAAAAAAAAAAAAAAACCTCTAATAAATAATGCAGAAGTTGAAAATACTCTTTTTGATCTCATAGCAGCTGTTTTCTAATTGAATTTACATCTTGATTAGTCCAAATAAAAGTTTTACTTTCGACTTATGAATTTTTTATTATATAGGTTGTATTTTCTTCTGTTTATAGAACTCAACAAAATAATTTTTTCTTACCTTAAACTAGGCTAGTAAATTGTTATTTTACTAGTATGTAGTCATAGGGTGATAAAAAAATTAAACTTCCATGAAGATATGTTACATAAAGATAATTCCTTAAAGTCGGCCATTAAAAAAGTCACTTAAGAGCTGTGAAGATATAATACATTTATAACTTAATTTATTCTTAGCTAAATTGTGAGCCTTCAATTTTTCCTTTTAAAAGTCACCACTAATTTATAACTTTAGTTTTTCATATTAAGACAGAAACAAAACTGTGATTTTTTTTCACAATTTGCCATAATCCTATAAATGGAATCCAACATATATAATTGTACAAAATGTGGGTCATGTTATTTTGAGGTTAATGGAATGAAAATGAGCATTGAACAGAGGACAGAAGCTAATCATGTTATCTTCCATCGTGAGTTATTTCAGGCCCAATATCATGGGGTCTTTCTGTGCCTTCTTTTTTTCTCTTAATTACCATGATCATCCTGTAATAATATAGAAACGCTTCTGAGCAACTGTATTTCTAAGTTCCGTATTTCTTGACAATGTATGCCAAAAAAAGTAGTCCCTGTTGTCTCCCAGAGGTCTTTCAGTAACGTCATTTACCCTAATCACTTTCTATTCCTCCAAGAACTATCTAGGCTTAGAATTGCTTATGAATGTTTTTCTTTAACTTTTATTAGATTATAAAAGCTAGATCGAGGCAGGCAAATCCAAGGGGTTTCCAGTAATTTCACAAAAAGATGTTTTAAATTATTTTGGTGAATAATTGCATAATCAGCTAAGATGTGGAGGTTCAGCTATCTTACATGCTTTGCTATTTCCAAGAATGTTAACTATTTGCAGAAAGTACTTGTTACTTTCCTAATTGGAAATATAATGTAGTCATTAACAGCATGAGCTCTGATCAGATAGCCTATGTCAAATTCGGTCTCCTCTGCTAACAGCCTGTGGTAGTGATCCCTTCCTTTATTTTTCTATGTCTGGAATTGTTTATCTCTAGAATCAGTATAGTAATATAGTCACATATACTTAGTAAGATTGTTTTAAACTTCAAATGAGATCATGAACATTTAATACCATGCCAATCACATGGTAAGTATTCGAGAAGTATTTATTATAATTGTTAGTTGTGTTTTTAAGAGATATGTTGTTGGAGCCAGCAGGTGACATGGTGGTTAAGTGCCCAATTCCCCCATGGTGGACCATGGTTCAAGTCGAAGACCTAGCATCTTGAAAATCACAACCAGCACATGTGTGTGCACACTTAGAATCGCAGGAGGAGAATAGAAAAGATGGGATTGTGGTGTGGCCATCCCCCCTGGAGAGTGAATTTTCATTTTCGTTCTCATTATCTTTCTCTGTCTCTCTCAAATGAATACACACACCCTATGGCAAAAACCTTAAGAGAGAGAGAGAGAGAAAGAGAGAGAGGTAGAGGTTGTTTTTCCTGGCAGACATTACCACAGTACCTCAAGGTTCAATCTGTGTTTGAATGATCTTCTCTCAGCTGGTTTATCCTCAAAGGGCACACTTAGGATTATGCCGAACCCTTCTATAAAGGCCGAGAAGTTCCCAGCAAGTATCTTTAGTGTTCATGTGGGTAGAGACATGATTATTAAAAGTTTAGGATCTCAATGTCCATTCTTATTGAACAGTGTCTTTTTCATATGTGATACTGTACTTCTTTCAAACTTTCTAAACCACTGTATCTTTGCACATAGGTAGGAGTTTCACCTTGTGTTGAGATCAGTGTCATTGATCTGCTGTAAAATAGGAATCATTGACTTTCTATAATGCAGTAGGACAACTAAGGAGGTTTATTAACTCCTTCATTCCTGTAAGATTCACTTAAAGTCACTATACTTTGTTCATTGGCATGAAGACTTAGAATATATTATGTTCAGAGATAATTGTAAATATTACGAAAGCTTAGTGCAGTGTTAAAGGGTATTATATCAGGAGAACAATGATAAGATTTAGATTTGCATTTTTAAATATTTAGAAGAATCACTCTTTACCTGACTCATATCTATCAGGACACTTGAAGATAAAATAGAAGCAGGGAAATAGGTTAGAAGATGATCAAAAATAAGGAGGACTAAGCTACGAACGTAAGAATGGAGTCCTGTAAAATCAGAAAGATACTGCATATGTCCATATACAAGCAACTTAAAATATAAGGAAAGATACCTTTTTTAGTGAAAAATAATGCTCCCAATCATATAGTCATTTTAAATATATAGTTTTACAAGCTATTACTTTCCTTATTGACAACTTGAATTCATCATTTAAATCATTTAACCCAGCATTCCAAAAGTACATTATTTTTATCTACATTGTTTAATACCCAGTCCTCTTGAAAGAGATTGCTTTACTGGAATGTTATACAAAATCACATGAAATTATTTGCACATAAAACAGTACTTTTTAATTTAATTCCTCCTGGAGTTATATATTTGCAATCTTTACAGAATTACCATCTTTGTATATTTGTTTGTGTAATATAATTCTTTGTAAAGGGATATTTTAGAGGAATATTTACAATGGTACCCAACATTTGTAATTAGGAGATCTTAAACAGGGAAATTTTTTAAATTCTTTATTGACTGCCATCAGCATTTAACACCAACATCATGATGGTCCCTTAAAGATAGGGTATTTTTGTCTGCAATTATTCTAAAAACAATATGCTTAAGGAAACACCACATTGTATGAGACGTTGGTAAAGACTTATGGGATAATGACTCTATCACTTCAGGAACACACACACACACATACAGAGAGAGAAAACAAATGTGCTTTTCTTAGTATTTGAGCATAAACTGCATTTGGAAAGTAGAATCATCAGATTGTGACCAGAGGACTGAACAGTGGTGGGATAATAAAAATGTGGTGCACCATGAGGTTGATTCACATGGGAAGGCCCCTGGTTCATACCCAGACACTTCCCTCAATTTATGGGCACATATGTACCTGTGATCCAGGAGGGACCAAAACTAGAGGCAGATGGCAGCAACAGGAACTTGTTGGTGGTTCTCTCTCTCTTTTTCTCTCTCCTTTATTTTATTTTTTTCCTAATTGGAAAAAGAAAATCTTTTTCTCTCTCCTGTCAGAAGAAATAAACTTTTAAAAAGTAGACAAATTGGTGAGTAATTGGCTATGCATATAAGTGACAGATCTAAAAAACTTCTCAGCTTTCTATTTGGAATGACTGAAAGTGCCAGTAGTACAAGGTTGAAGGAAAGCTGACTTAAATATACAGTGTGGTGTAGCTAGGGAAAATTCAGCTGAATATGTCTAGTAAACTATGGAAGTACAACCCACTGAGCAGGAGAGAACTCGGCCTAAAATAGTATGCTTACAATACTTTAAAAATTATTGTGATACTATCTTTCTCTTTATCTTTTCAATTTTATCAGTTTACTTATATAGATCTTTCTCATGTCAGAGAAAAAAGTGGACAATTGTTTTCTCTTACACAAAAGGTTTTTTTCCAAAAAGTGTTGATGTTAGTTACTTTAGTCATTACATTCTAAAACCTTCTGCACTTTAATGTGTTGTTTCTGAATATCGGCATGCATCTTAAGGATTATTTCCTTAAAAATATTAAGGTCGTCAACATTTTTAAAAGCTAGCCTTTTGTCTGCCTCTGTTTGGCCTTTCTTTCTTCCAAGACTCAAGATTACCTATATTTTTTTTTCCCCAGAGTTCTTTCTTCTTACATTTCTTATACTATTGCATTAGTCAGTTTCAAGGGATTTATTATTCCTCCTTGAATGATATTTTAATGTTTTATGAGCTATTCTATTTGTGTTGTTAGCCTTCCTGTTATCTTTACCATGCTATTTATTTATAAAAATTTCTGATTTTTAAGATCTATTTTTGCTTTCCATACAAATGAAAAAAGCCAAGTTTGAATGATAAGTAACTTTTAGACGTCCTGATTGCCATAGATAAATGTTTATGGAGGCCTATTTTTCATTAACATTCAAACTTTGATATAAACAGCCTCTTAAACTGTTCTTAGATATAAATAGGCAGTTGTGTGTGGAAAAAGTTTTTAAAAAGATTAAAAACAGTGTTCCGAGTGGGGAAGCTGAAGTTTGCATCCTTTCCCAGTTTTCTGGTGTAACTGTTCCCTACCCCCGCCCCCCAACATCCTTCCCAGTGCTGATTTTCGTTTGCCAGTGCGAGGTCACTGGACTTGGAGTTAGGAAGGGATGTGATCATCTTTCATGAACCGATATAAACCGGCTCTGGCAAATCTTCATTTCTTATAACACTAGACACTAAGCTTCATGTTACTTAAAAGAACAGTGTGCTTGGTAATATGGCCTGTCACAGTATATTCACATATTTTGATCTCCTGTTTAAAAGTGCATCCTGAACTCAACAAAAAGTGAGTCATTCTTGCTTACTCCGAGTATTTCAGACCTTCCTTTTACATCTTACAGAATGTTCACATTTCTGGGCAAGTATGTATACTCACAACTATTTACAAGCAAAATGGTTTCATAACATGCTCTCTTTGAAAACCTCCGGGATAACATTAAAAATATTCCCATCTCTTGCATCCTGGGCGAACTTAATTGCTGCTCCCTATTGCTGACTTAACTAGGAAATGTCATCATATCCTGTACTTCATACACCCCTTAATGACATGCTTAATATTCATGGATATTTTGGGGAAAAGTAAGTCTTTTACAAAGCAGTGTGCCTCACTCTTATCTGGATAAATCATTTTGCCTACCAGGCAATTCATTTCATAATAACTGAACCCCAGTCAATAATATTTTTAATGTTCTTTTGGCTATTAGGTTATAAAAGCAATAGAAGAAGGTTATCGCTTACCAGCACCCATGGACTGCCCAGCTGGTCTCCACCAGTTAATGCTGGATTGTTGGCAAAAGGAGCGTGCTGAAAGGCCAAAGTTTGAACAGATAGTTGGGATCCTAGACAAAATGATTCGAAACCCAAATAGCCTGAAAACACCCCTGGGAACTTGCAGTAGGTAAGAATTACCTAAGGGAATGGAATCTGGGAATAATTCACATAAATGGTTCATATACACATTTGTTTTCTCAACCCATCCCCATGGCAAATTAAGTTTTGTGTTGGAATAGAAATCCGTATTAAATGAACTATGTTCACAGAAGGATTTTGTTTCCCATTTTTTTAGATGTTTTATTTTAATTAGTGTTTAAAGAGAACCTATTAATTATTATTGCTTCTATTCTAAAATCATACATATCACTACCTGTCTTTCTTAGTAAACCTTTTAAACTGGATTTTTGTGATAAGGCAGCACGTCACATTTCAGACCTATATTATTATTACATGCGTTTTATTACTCTTGTTCTAGTTTTTTTGTTGTATGCATATTACCTATTTTATTGTTTTACTTTGGGTTATTTAATAAAATGACTCTGTGAAGTTAACATTTATCAAAGTAATTCCATACACAATTAGAGAAGTAGAGAAGTAGGTCCATTAAAAAGAGTCCATTCTTTGCACTTGGCTTGCTCCAATGTAATGCATATTGGTAATTAGTCAGGTTTGACTTCCAGGTAAACTTGATGCTCTGGTCTGTATTGGTAGTACGTCAGGCATTTGTAGAGGTATATTAACTCTCAAGATGCTCACCAGGGTGCTTTCAGTACAGCAGATGGATAATGTGTTCAATTCCACCCTTGTGGCCTGAACAAATAAGAATATAGCCCCGTGTGCTTCCTTTATTCCCGAGTACTTTGGGAGAAGCAAACAAACAAATATTTACTGATTCCAAATACTTTAGGCTTTACTTGTAAAAACATGAAAGACACAACCTGATGGTCATTGTATCTAAATATTAGAGTATATATTTAGGAGTGTGTAATTATTGGGCAGACTATATGCTTTAAACTTGTATTAGCATGTATATTTGTTACTGTATGACAACTACAACACTGTTTTCCTTTTCTTTATGGCTCAAGTCATTTTTTCCTATGGTACTTCATGAGAACATTTGCTTTTTTGTTTTATTCTTATTTAGGCCAATAAGCCCTCTTCTGGATCAAAACACTCCTGACTTCACTACCTTTTGTTCAGTTGGAGAATGGCTACAGGCTATTAAGATGGAAAGATATAAAGATAACTTCACAGCAGCTGGCTATAACTCCCTTGAATCAGTTGCCAGAATGACTATTGAGTAAGTGCAAACTTTTAAAGTTATTTTGAAGAACTTATTAGACACAATTCACGTTTTATACATTAGGTTATCTTATTTATATTTAAAAAATATGAACCACAAAATCAGAAAGAAAAATATTTCCTTAAGAAGTGCTTATCATGTGCCAGACTTTGTTGAGTAGACCTTTAAATATACATTATCTTTTTTAACTTTCACAGCAATAGTCTTAATAAGTCAACAGTTTTATATTGATTTATTGATAACAAGGCCAAGGCTCAGATGATTTAAATATTTACCCTAATCTAGCTCATCTGGAAAATGACAACCAATATGCCTCCATAGCCTAAGTTCTAACCACCTCCCACTGAAATACAGCATGATGTCTTGCTATTTTTTAATAGTTTAGTTGTTTCTTCCATGACCAATAGAAAGAGGGGAGAAAGAGACAGGAAGGCAGGTACCCACAGCAGGATCTGGATATGCCATGATACTCCCTGACTACACTGGACATGAGTGGACCTATGTAGGCAGAGACCAGGTAGACCCAAGGCCATGCCATGTTTGCCAGTTTCACAGAGTGCCATGTTTTACTGCTTCACACAATGTGTCTACTTTCTGAAAAGGTCAAAAGAAGTTTAATTCAATTAACTGTAGCTACATATTTAACTTACTCAATGGAAGGTATGTGATAGATGAAAATTTTTTTAATCTAAAAAATATCTGATGAAACAACTTTTTAAATTGCTATGAACTCACAAGAACTTACATTTTTCCTTCTGGCTCCTTCACTAATCATGTGGCCTTAGAAAATCTATTTAATGTTGCTAAACCTCAGTCTCTTTGGCACCAGCGTAACTCTCATGGGTGATGAAGTGCCTCTCAGTCAATGCGTTTGAAAATAAGAAGCAGTTATCAAAGTTCTATCCATGGGATCCTATTCAAGGGCTGTCATCAGAAGGGCATCGCATTTTTCACATGAGAAGAATAGCAATCAAATACTCTTTCCTGGTATAGGTCAACTACATGGATTTAAGCATGTTCATGCAATTATATTCGGCTTTCTTCTTATGATTTAGTTGGTTAACATATTTATGTCTGGATTCCAAGCAATATAGGCTCCTGAAACCCTATGTTTGGAAAGTCACTTCCATTTTACTACTGAAATAATTTTTGCTGCTTATAAAACTCAACCTTTCTAGCTATTAGGAATGGCAAAGACATACAAACAGAAACAATGAACTTATTACAAATTTAGAATAAAAAACATAGGTATTGCATATTTTGAAAACTGGGTTTTTGTCTAGCATATAGTTGAATGACTGAACTGAACTGGAATAATAACATTTCTGAACATTACCTTAGGTTAATAATAATTTTAAGCCTTTATTCATGTCTTACATAAAATTTCAAATCAGTTAAAACTTACTATCATAGCAAATTGAGAAACTGAGCACGTAGGATTTTACAAAGAAGGATGCTGATGCAGTTACAGATTTGACCTTCTGCAGGAATATGATCATAATACCCAAGGACATATGATAACATTTATTCATTTAAGAAAATCATTACATAATTAAATAGTGGATGGCGGTTTAGAACATTTAAGTTCTTTGTAAGGTACCTGATTTTTAAAAAAATGCATTTGTCTTTTTCAGGGATGTGATGAGTTTAGGGATCACACTGGTTGGCCATCAAAAGAAAATCATGAGCAGCATTCAGACTATGAGAGCACAGATGCTACATTTACATGGAACTGGCATTCAAGTGTGATAAGCATTTCTCCCGTGTAAGGGAGATTATGGACTGGAAGAGAACAGTACTGGCCTTCAGTATATGCAGAGAATGCTGCTACAGGACAGTTGATGTCCTGGGTCCTTCCTATGGTGAAGAGAAGATAGAAGAAGCACCTATAGACTTGAACTCCTAAGTGCCACCAGAATATATAAAAAGGGAATTTAGGATCCACCACTGGTGGCCAGGAAAACAGCAGTGACAATAAACAAAGTACTACCTGAAAAACATCCAAACACCTTGAGCTCTCTAACCTCCTTTTTATCTTATAGACTTTTTAAAATGTACATAAAAATTTAAGAAAGAATATATTTGTCAAATAAAATCATGATCTTATTGTTAAAATCAATGAAATATTTTCCTTAAATATGTGATTTCAGATTATTCCTTTTTAAAATCATTTGTGTTTATTCTTCATAAGGACTTTATTTTAGAAAGTTGTTTATAGCTTTGGACCTTTTTAGTGTTAAATCTATGACACATTACTACACTGGGTACCTTTGAAAGAATCTCAAATCAAAAACAAACAAACAAAAAACAGCATGATTGAAGGTGTATCTCTGTTAGAACATTGGTATCCTTTTTGTGCCATTTTATTATGTTAAATCAGTGCTGTTTTGATATCATTTGCTAATTGGCAGGTAGTCAAGAAAATACAAGTTGCCAAGAGCTCTAATATTTTTTAAAATAATTTTTTGTAAAAACCAGACAACACACTATCTTTTCAATGAAAAAAAGCAATAATAACCCATAAATACTATAAGGCACTTTTAACAGATTGTTTATAGAATGATTTTACTAGACAGGATTTAATAAAGGAAAATACTCAAATTTTAGGTTTATGACAACATTAAGAAAAAAAAAAAAAGATGAGGTACTTCACCTGTAGAATGTTGGTGAAGGCAATTCTCTGAAAGCAAGAACTATCCAGTGTTACCTAAAAGTTCAGTTAATGTGAGCACATCAAGAGTTTTTCAGTCTCATGACATTAGGAAATTTAGGAGGAATAGTTGTCATATATTTTATATCCTCTTCTGTTGAATGCAGTCCAAACATGAGAGGAAAGACTTGAGTTTTATGTATGAACTCTGAAGCATGCTAAAAGGGGCAGTTCACAATTTTCAACCTTCATAAACAAATTTGCTGCACAGAATAGTACCGTGGCGGTTAACAACAAAACAAAAGAAAAGAAGTCTATTTGTGAACACTGATGGAAGAAACTTGTTCCATGAAAGAATTCATCATTTTACCCTAGAAGGAAGAGGTGAAGGATCTGGCTTTTTTTTTTTTTAAATTTTTTTTTTTTAACCCATTTTTTTTGTTTATTTTGTTAGAATTTCATAAGCAATAATTAAATGTGTCAAAAAGATGAGGTACTTCACCTGTAGAATGTTGGTGAAGGCAATTCTCTGAAAGCAAGAACTATCCAGTGTTACCTAAAAGTTCAGTTAATGTGAGCACATCAAGAGTTTTTCAGTCTCATGACATTAGGAAATTTAGGAGGAATAGTTGTCATATATTTTATATCCTCTTCTGTTGAATGCAGTCCAAACATGAGAGGAAAGACTTGAGTTTTATGTATGAACTCTGAAGCATGCTAAAAGGGGCAGTTCACAATTTTCAACCTTCATAAACAAATTTGCTGCACAGAATAGTACCGTGGCGGTTAACAACAAAACAAAAGAAAAGAAGTCTATTTGTGAACACTGATGGAAGAAACTTGTTCCATGAAAGAATTCATCATTTTACCCTAGAAGGAAGAGGTGAAGGATCTGGCTTTTTTTTTTTTTAATCTTTATTTATTGAACCATATTATTTGATTATTTTGTTAGAATTTCATAAGCAATAATTAAATGTGTCTTTATAGATATTTCAGGAATGTATACATAGTGTGAGTAATGCTTTCAAAATTTATGAAAATCATGAACTACCCCAGAATTGAACTGTTGTATTTCCAAAGAGAATTGGGCTGTTTATAATCATTTTAATAGAGAAAGATCCCAGGGATCGGTCATAATTGGTCTTGTTTGATAATGTGGGCATCCACGAACAAACAACAAATAACAGAAATGAAATCTGTAAATGTTCCTTTGTAAAACTTGTAAATTTTATTTATACTGTCTTGTTTTGTACACACATTTCTCTGTAGTGAGCTCTGAATACATTGAAAATGCACTATATTTTTCTATTTTACTTGCAGAGCATCACAAAAGAACAGGTATTTTCAGTGCTACATAATGTGTTTTCCCACATTTAGGACCAAAGATGGCTATTGAAAAACTCAAATGGATTGCTTCCCAAACCCCTCCCTACCTTTTCTTTTTTCCTTTTAACTCACTGTACAGTGTTATTTGATATTTTAATTTATTTTTTGATTGATTAGAAAAATCATTTTAATTTCACTAAAATGTTTTTGTCCCTAAGGAAAAATAATCTGTACAAATAATTTTAATTAGCATAATACAGTCACCTAGACACTTCCATTTGTAATCTTTGTAATAGACTGTAAATATATTTTTGGAACTATAACACAATGTGCTTGAGGGTTATTTTTCAGTGTCTGCAGTGTATACAAGTGTTTATACTAAGTACAGCACTTTACAATTCTAATCAGTAGCATTGGCCTTTGTGAGAATGAGTGAAAGAGTTTGAGTGAGTGTTCTTAATTCCGTTTGGATTCTAGACTCACTGATAATGAAGTTCTTTTCTTGTTCATAGCTTAAGGTGCTTATTTTTTCTATTAAAATTAAATTAACAAAAAGCCATTCTAGAAATAGAAGACATAGTATGGTACATGCAAACGGTGTCTTTCCTGCTTTTTTCTAGCACTAGATTTATAGTTGAGTAGTCTTTCTTGAGTAGAAGGGCAGAATAAAAGTTTTTTTGAGTTTTTTTCAAAAATAACTTTTTCCTTCAGCAATATACCTCATCTGCCTTAAATTTTTTACAGCTCTTTACAGGGAAAGGGGAGAAGGGATGGGAAAGACACACAGCACAATAGGAAGTGTATGCTCACAGCACGCTCTCGTTTGTAGGTTTCTTTTCCCAATCAACATTATGATTTTAAAATACATGTATGTGAAACAAATATTAAGAGAAAAAGAATTAACATTGTAATGCTGATTGTAATACTCTCTTCCAGAAAGAGATGAAATGGTATAAACAAAAAGAATGTACAACTTGCACCTTGAAATCTTTTTTTGATAAATTAGTGCTCAGGGGAGGAAAAGTAGAGAAAGGAAACGTCAAAAATAGAACTCCAAAATTACAAAAATGCAAAAGGAAATGGCCTCTTTGCTTTACTAGAGCCACCTTTTTTAGAACGCTGTCTTCACACTTGACCTGTGTTTTGCATTCAGTACTGAAATAAAAATAACTTTGATTACATCTGAATTGAACATTTTCTCAGCAATTGATCTGGGCCTTGTTTACTAGAACTGGTGGTTTATGCTTGTCAGAGCACTATTAGTTGAATCATATTGTATACTTATGTAATCTACATTAGCTAGTACTATTTAGGACTATATTTTAATTGCTCCTCTTATCCGTGTTTTTAAGACAATTAAAATGGTGTAATTCACCTCTCTTTTTTATTTAGGTAATGCTGATATTCTCCTTTTTGTTTCCTGAGTAGCCTAGAACTATGCTACTCACTGATGTGCATGTTGAAATAAATTACTGATGTGTATTTTTTTGCTCTATGTGGAGAAGTCATGGGGAACTTGGGGCGAGATGTGCTTTTTGTTGGTTGAATTTGTCCCTCCTTGCCTAAGAATTACTACAGGGGTCATCCTTTTATAAGGACAAACTGCTTTTGAACAGTGTCTTCAATGTATCAAGCACAAATAACTCTTTCTTCAACACGAATCATAAGTCTCTTTTTACCAGCTTAAAATAATAAACGAGTCTATTAGACAATGTAAGAAAATCCTGTCTCCAATCATTGGCGAATTCCTTTATGTCCCATACACATTCTTTCTTTTCTTACACAACATCTTGAGGAAAGAGAGAAGAACGTTTTACTGAACTATTTCAGTGAACCAACCAGATTACAAAGAAAAACTAATTAATGTCCCTTGCTTTCCCTCATCCTCTTGATTCTAGTTATTACAAAATAATAAGACTGCATCTTCAAGCAGTCATACATACTGTCAAATATTTTAGTTCAGACCTTTCATTATTCCTTCCTTAGACAACAACTACCTGGTACTAGCAACTAGTATTTACAGGAGAAACGAAATATTTTGTCATTGGGCCTTGACATTTTAAACGTCTAATAAAACAGAACAACATGGAGAGTTTTTGAATTTAGGCTACTGAATGATGCAACCATAGAATCCAGAGCAAATGGAACAAATGATAAATCTCATTGTCTAATTGAATTAACATTGGCACTGACTCCTGGATCATTCCTACTTGCACCTGAAATGAAAAGTAAGCACTCCCTGTTGTATAGCATCACCACCTCAAGCTCTACAAACTCTTAATTAATGTCCCAACATCTTTTTAAGGAAATGAGAATGATAGACAAATACCAGAGGAGGCGCCCTCACTAGCTGTCACTGTCTTGCTGAGGCTCAGGCGAGACTAAATTTGAAGGTAATCTAGAAATGCCTCCCCCATGTCATTCCAGATGTACATGCTAATGAGCAGCACGTGGTTAAAGATGCAAGGTGTGAATGAAGAACAAAAAAGAAGCATCAAGCAACACTATTAAGTTCACACAATAATAATTATATAGCTTAGAAGACCGAAGAAAACCCTTGAAATTATCTGATTATCTCTTAAAATGCTGTATTTGAAGTAATACAAAGTATCTTATCAGAACATTCCCCCCACGATTGTAAAAACATTATTAAACATATTCAACTTCCATCAGCAAGGAAAAAATAATATTTTAATATATATGGTCATTCTTAATAACACTTTTTTATTGATCTATTCATCTCCTACTTTTACCCATCGTTTAATTTATTGTTACCTACAATGAAAATTTAGTATCAATCAGGAAGAAGGCTGTTGAAAGGAAGAAACACAAATCAATGAGGTCATCAAATTCCTAAATACAAAGATCACAATTAAAATACTAACACGAGAGAGTGCATACCAACCAGCAAATTTTCAAGCTGTTCTGAAAGGAACAGCATCCCCCTGGCCATTCATAGGTGTCCCCACAGTAGCCTCCCCCCCCTTCACTGTTCTGTTCACTGCATCTCAGTGTAGCTTGAAGAAAACCGGCAGAAGAATACAATATTTCAATGCAAATACCCCTGTGACCCTCATTAGAATTAAGAGCTGTAAGGTGGAGTTTTTTGTTTTTTGTTTTTGTTTTTGTTTTTGTTTTTGTTTTTGTTTTGAGATTGAGTGATTGATTGTAATTAAATCTGTACTTGAACAATAAAAGACCTCTTCTGATTGACCTTGAGGTTCAAATAAATGTAATTAATTGATCCAGCTTAATTGGACCTGTTGCATGAAGTTGAGTAAATAGTGATAAGCTGTGCTAGTTTAGTGTTTTGTGGGGATGTAAGAGTACTAGAAATTCCTTCAGTGTGTCAAGGTAGTGGAAATGACTAAATTTCATGATTTAGCAACAGTAACAAGTGAGGTATTTTATCAAAACCTACATGAATAACAAATAAAGCTCCATCAGATTCAAACTGATCTTTGTATTTTATTATTTCAAATGCCCCAGGATTCTATTGCTGAAAATTATTTTTTTTTTAAACTCATGCCTTTAGTTAGGTTTATTTGTAGATTTTATATATCACTAAAGAATACACAATGTTTTTTGTGGCGTTTTTTTGAAGAGTTTTTTTATTTGTTTGTTTTGTTTTGTTTTGTTTTGTTTTGTTTGCTATAGGGCACATGTGCTCGCCAGGAAGACAGAGAGAGACAGAGAGACAGAAAGCGAGAAATCGCACCCAGGGGAGATGGCTACGCCACAATCCCTTCTCCTCTATTCTCTTCTTGGGATCTTGGGCATGCATGCACACGCACCCAGCATCAGTTAAAGCCACCAGATTCAGGACTCAAACTACATGGGAATCCAGAGACATAGTCATTACACTAATTGCTGGTCCCCACAATATGTTTTTAATGTACACTTAATCATAGATCTTTCTTGAAAATACTCAGAGAAAAAACAGGCACTTTTGGCAATTCTAATTTAGCAAAAGACAAACATTGTTCATTTCACCATTTGTCTATGTAACCAAAGTTAAATAAATAGAATGATTACAAAACAAAATCTAGAAAAACTGTCTCTAGAGAAAATAAAACTACCTATGCAGAACTAGTGTTCAAATAACTCATATTTTTAAAAAATATTTCATAATTCATAGAAATGAGGCAAACAACTCAAGAATACCTTTAAAATAAAACATGAATTTGCATTTTCTACGCTGATGCATAGACTCTGGAGCAAATTATCATGGAAAGTTCTAAGTCTAATAGGATATCTCTTTGTCAATTTGCTAGATATGCACTATTTACATTAAAGATCAGATGGAATAAGAGGCTAAAATGAAAGACATCCGCACATTTTTTCAGCTCTGACATTTGCAGAAGTGTTTTCAGGAATCTACTTGGCTGAAGATGTGCTGGGCATGCCTGATTGTACTTCCGTGTTTTCACTTAGATCTCACCAGTTGCACACTGATCTCCATATGTATCCACTGGAATACAATTTAACAGAAACAGGAACCTGATGCTACAAACAAACAAACCAAGGCTCCCCTGAGAAATGAGCATGTGTTAAGCATGTCTTACTGCTGCTACTTCAATGGCTCCCCTCATAATGAAGCAGTGCCTGTTAGGTTAGGTTTAGTGTAGAACTTGCAGAACAAGTATAATTATACTACTTCTGATCTAGTCACAAAACAAAGTCCTAAAACACCAAATACTACTCTTTATTTCCAAGATAAGCAAATAATTCTGTATATAGAATGATTTGTACAAGGCAGAGATGACTTACAGGAAATGTTGAAAGTAAGGTAGAAGACCTTGCGTTTAATGGAAGAGGCACTGAAAAGCTGTATGTAATCTTGACCAGAAAAATGATATTGGAAGAGATGAAGTTTAAGGAACCAAAGCCTGACAATGGTTTCTGAAATGTGAATAAACTACTTTTAGATTCTGGATGAGGACATTAAACTATACTTCTATGCTTCCCTATCTTTGCTTTCCAACTTCACACTCCTTTTCACATTTTTAGAATGGGACTAGCGCCCTTTTCAAGACCCAATTCCAAAGTTCTTCCTCCAAGTCTTCCCAGACACCAGGAGCCAGCCTTAACGATCTCTTCTGTGCTTGCTTATGCTGCTGCTGCGATTATCCTGCCGTGTTCCGTCAGATTATTTGTGTGTATCTCTCTCCCATGAGATTCAGTGCTCTTGCAGGGCAGAAGCCAAATGGAAATCTTTGTTTTATGTCCCTTTGGGACAGAGCGGTTTCTAGCACTCAGTAGACACTCTATAAATATTTTAGAATCCTTGAAGTGTAAATTAATTCAAATTGTTTTTTTTTTCTTAAAAGGTAGTGAGGATCAGGTGCTCTGAAGGCTGAACAGGGTGCAGTGAAGGTGGTAGTAAAACGGATGCTGAGGGAGAAAACAAATTTCAAAGCATGGATGGATGCTTCTGTGATAGGCTAGGGCAGCAAGAATGCCCTCAAGGGACTGAGAAGGGAAGCGGGAGTTGTGCACCTGTGCGAGAAAGGAAGGAACTGATTAGCAAACAAGACCAGAGTACACCAAACAGCAGTATCTTTTAGATGCTGAAAAGGAGTTGGAGGCATCATCACTGGCTGTAAATTAAAGGGCAAGATTTGAAAACTTGAAATCAAGTAAACAAAAATTGGGATTGATGAAAGAAACAGTGAAGCGTTATTTACCAATATGACACTGGAAGAGGCAAAGGCATGATGAGGAGGGTGGGCTTTATTTCTTTGTTTGTTTGGAGAGATTTTTGCTATAGGGTGCATGTACTTGCGAGAGAGACAGAAAGAGAGAAAGAAAGTGAGAAATCAACCCCACCCCAGGGGGATGGCCATACTACAATTGCTTCTCCATTCCCTCTAGGGATTTTGGGTGTGCACACAGATGTGTCCACCTTAAGTTTCTTAAGTCGCCAGCTCCAGACCTGAACCACACTCAGCCATGAGAGAAACCAACACTTTAACCACTACACCACCTACTGGCCCCAAGAAAGTGTTTTAAGGAACAATAATATGCAGAAGTATGTGAAATGGGATTTTAACTACTATAAAATTAAGCCTAGACAAAGAAAATAATATTTTTTGTGTGCTTCTGCAGTGACAAATCCTCTTGTTCCTGCTCACAAATGCCAAATAAAATCAATAATTCTGAACCAACAGGTCATGTGGTGGTTAAGGTACTGGACTCCCATATGACTAATACCATTTGAGTCCCAGACCCAATGACTTGAAAATCATGTGGGGTGTGTGTGTGTGTGTGTGTGTGTGTGTGTGTGTGTGTGTGCCTAAAATCCTAAGATCAGAATGGAAGAGAAGGGACTGCAGTGTGGCCATCTCCCCGGAGGGTGATTTTCACTTTATTACCTCTCTCTGTTTCTCTCCAGGAGTTCATGCATCCTATTGCAAAGCTGAAAAACAAATCAGCAATTTTATAGTTAAGTAAAAATACAATGAAGCAGAATTTTATAGCCCAGTCTTTAAGTCTCCTTACCATTCATATCATAAAAAGACAGCATCAGGTGGTGGATGATGCCAGAGGATTTAAAGAAAGATCATGTGTTGCTATTACTCCATATATAAGACAGGAAAAATGATTTAATTTCTCTGTATCTCTAGTCCTATCTGTAAACTGAGCAAAAATATTAGCTACTTCAAAGTTGTTACAAT